TCAAATCATGATCTGTTTCTAACTGTCATGATTGGCTGTGTGGCAGGCAGGAAGGAAAAAGGACCCAAAATGCAGGACTCTCAGAGACGGGACTGGAACTGAAAACACAGCTTAAACGCTGGAAAAATCTCCTTATAAATAACTCCCACAAAAACAAAACAGAACTCAGAACAGAGGAATTGCACTACTGGAACACTACAAACACACAGCATGTAGAACGTATGACGCAACAAAGGCCAAAGGCCAACACGGGGCTTAAATACGCAGTGGAGTAATCAGGGAATGGAAAACAGGAGGGAGACACAGCTGGGAGAAATTAGGGCTAACGAGACAGGGGGAAGTAAAACTGAATACGCTGACGTAGGACTGGAACTATCAAAATAAAACAGGAAACAATTTACAAAGACGCAGACTTGACAGAAAATATAACCCGTAATACAAAATCAAACCAGCACAACTCAAGAATCAGAACATAAATCATAATCTAGAAAAACACCAAAATATAAGACACAGAAAAAACTGGGTCAAAATGACCCAGAACTGTGACATTAGCCTTGATAAAAATCCTTTTGGTGCTTAAATGTTGCCTTTGTTGATGAATTCCTTTGTGTTGAACTCTGCGCTACAGCAACTAATTCACTTTTTCCCAACGCAGCTAAATCCTTTAAAGCCATTCATATCTGAATTTTTCTTAAAGGAAGTGCTTCTCATATTGTTGTGGCTCTAAGGAGTCCTGATAATATTGATAATAAAAACAAAAAGAATTTGCTCACCAAAGTCCTTTTCTTTCTATACTCTTTTAAGACTGTATTATAATAATAATACTAATAATAATTTCTTAGCTCATTGTAGCTAATGAACCTTTAAAATGTGGATTTTTCACGTTTCATAATTTTTCACTGGTTTGCTTTTCTGTGCATGTGCAGTGTTTTAGTCTCCGTTTTATTTCTCTCCTCTTTTTCTTGTGCCAGAGGTTAGCAGAATCTGCAGAAGACTCAGATTTGTACCATGAATTCAATGCAACACTAAAGGTCAGTGCAACTCTTTGGTTTTGATGATGACTGATTCACTGGCTGGTTTGGAATCACCCAGGACGTATTCTGTATTCTGCATGTTTAAATTAATGCTGATGGACGATAAAACCTCCAAGTGTGTCATGTGTCAGTGTCGGGTGCATTTGTACTTTCCTGGTCTTTAGCTGAATGCTATCATTAGCTGACTGTGCGTGGACCAGAGTTGACAGCGGGCTGTGAGGCCGGATTAAACCTCAGCTGACACCTGAAATTAGATTAGGTCAAACTTCACTGATCCTATAGGAAACTGGGTCGCAAAGAAACGCACAATAAGCAT